ATGAAAATAAAATCAAAATATGGACATGAATATATTTACCGGTTTAATGTTCATATGACGGTAAGTCGTAATGAGTAATGACCACGTAATATTAAAACAGAACTTCAGAGTGTTATTTCCTTTTCGATGTTAATAAGAAATGTTGATTTTCTTTTGCATCAGTATTTTTTATAAATATGATTTAAAGCGGCCACACACACATCTCCTTATAATTATTTATAAGTCATAAATGCTATTATTTTTTTATCTTTAGTATAAAAATTAGTTGAACTTTCAATCCCTAATTTAGTTTTACTTTCAATTTTGTTCTAAATACAAGATCTCAATTCAAACTGTCTCTTATATTTATTTATTTTTTTAAATAGTCCTTATAAAAGTTATAAACGTTAAATATTTAATCCAATAACAGTTCTAGCTGATACATATTATTAGCAATAGTACTTTGGAGAAAACAGTGCATATTTATTATAAATAACTAACTTGACTAATTTATTTAGTGTACTCAAATTAACTAACTAGCTCTTATATTAAGAACTGAAGATAGTATAATGTTATTATACAATATTTATAATTTATGAATAATATATTTATATTATATAAATATGATAATTCATGTTGACATTTTTATAAAAAGATTTAGACCGACAAGTAGCTAAAGTTTGAGGCATGATTGAAACGGTAACCTCCTATCGCATCCGTCTCTACTATCAGTTATTAGTATAAAAAAATTGACCTTAAATATAAGTCATTTATAAAATTATTAATAGTATTTTTTTAATTTTATGCATATTTATTTTCTGTTGGAAAAAAAGAAATGATTTATAAATGTAAAAAAAATCAATGAAAAAGAGTTTAAAAAATTATGCTAATATTAATATTAATATAATATATTACCTTCCGTCTTTAATATAAGGATTATTTTTTTAAAGAATAAATTAATAAAATAAAATAAATTTTTTTATTTAAAATTAAATTAAAAATTAAAATAATTTTTAAATTAAACATTAAAAGTTATATTATTTTCGGTTTTAATTATAAAATTTTGTTTGTAGTTTATAAACAGATATTTTTTTAATGAAGAATGTGGGAAGGAGAGAAGGCAATAATGAATAGAAGGGGCGGGGGCAAGTGGAAGGCAGGGTGGGTCAGCCATGAGTCTGAGCCGCACACAGATCCAAAGGCCCTCCCACAACAAATGTCTTCCCAGCTGTTCTCACTCGCCTCGCTCCCCTTTTTGGGTATGCCAACGTACCCTCTCCGTCTTGTACTCTTCCCGACGTTGACTTCTCCCCTCCTCTTTCGTTATTCATTCATCTTCCCCTCGCATTTCCGTCACCTCATTAGCATTTCTTTTTTTTTTTTTTCCTTTCCTTATTGATTGTATATGTCTCCTTTTTCTTTATAAGAACTTATGGCAACAATTTAAATCATCTTTATTTTTTTTTTTATGAACTATGCACATTTTCAATTTGATAGACATATTAGTGATATTAGTATTAATACTGTCTCTACGTGTTTAACTACTGTCTTCCCCATCCTGCGGTTTTAATAGCTAGTTAAAAAATTCGGTTGGAGACATTCTATGTGTGATAAAATCATAAAATCAACTAAAACTTTAATGCCCTCTCTCGTTTTGAGATTGTCTTTCTGGGTTGAGGGAAGAAAGGGAAAAACGACAAGATAAGGATGTCTGCTTCCAGTACAGTGGAAATCTTCTGTTCTGATCTTTCTATTCTTTTTCCTTTTAAATAAAAATTATCCAACTCCGTAAAAAAGGAACGAATTTCACTTGCGATCTTATAAAAAAAGTCAATGGCCCTTAATATAAGATTTAATTATTAAATTAATTTCGGTCCTGAATACAATACCTACTTCTTATGTTTATCAATTTTTCTTGAATTGCCCTGATGGATACTCCGTCAGCTATAATCAAATAAGCGATGGAGGAATGACATTAAGAAGGATAATTATAGTGTTTTAGGAAAAACATGTCATACTTCTTATAATTAATTAACTTACCAAACTTTCTTGATCTAATCAGATTAGTTAAATAGGTCTCATATTAAGGATCGAAGGAGTATTTGAACATTGCATTGCTAACATATCTATGGCCTTTTCAAACACTACAGTCTGTTCTTAATATAAAAGCTCGTTTGATTTTTATTTTAGTTATAAATATAAGATCTCAATCTATTTTGTTTCTTATATTTATTCATTTTTTCAAAATAGTCTTTATAATAATGATAGTTCTAATTAATATACTACCTCCGGTCGTAATCATAAGACCTAGTTGACTAATTTGGGGAGATTAAGGAACTTAGTTAAATAAGTTATTTGTAATGAATAAGTGTTGTTTTTCCTAAAATATCCTTGATAATCAAATTTGTTATCTAGAACTACCATTATTAAATGACTATCTTGAAAAAAATGGATAAATATGAGAGACAAAGTGGATTAGCGTCTTATATTTAGGACCAAAATAAAAGTTAAACAAGGTCTTATATTAAGGACCGGAGGTAGTATTTGATTAGTAAGAATGTTTTGGAAAAGCCAATATCTATTTATTACAAATAACTAATTTAACTAGTTTATTTAACCTACTTAAATTAATCCATTAGCTCTCTTATTAAGGATTGGAGGTAATATATTTTCTATAATTATACAAGTTTGAACCCAAAATCTTGTGCTTCAGTGGCCGGAATTTCTTTAACTAGATCTAACACGTGTAAGTTAATTATATTTTGTGCCGCCAAAGTTTGAGCCAGCTGCTCATGTTTTCCGCATGCCAAATATTGTTTTTATTTATCTCCTTAAATCTGTTATTTCTTGTTGTTATATACATATGTATTTCAATTTTTCTGAATATTTACATTTTTAAAACAGTTAAATTAAGTTGCAAATTTTTATAGTTAAATTCAAATTGTTTTTATATTTTCATAACTTTATGTAATTAAATTAACTTCAAAACTTGAAAATACAAATATCTAACTTATTTTACATGATTATTCTATTAATATAAAAACGTTGAACTAAAAAATGTAAATGAAACTTATAGTGCATTTGGTACGGAGGACTTGGAAAAGAGGGAAGGAAAGAAAGGAGGAGGAATTTTGACCATTTTTCCTTATTTAGTAAGATAAAAATTTTAGGAGGGGAGGAAAAATATCTTAACACTTTTCCTTGTTTCCCCTCATAAGCCTCCCCTCCAAAATTAGGAAAACTTGGGTGGAACGGGTAATATTTTAGCCTGTATTGACTAACACGCCAAATGTCATTTTCTAATAATTTCATGCTATCCTTCGACCCCAAATTGTATGTGATTTGGTATGTTTGTGGATTCAATCATGCATCTCTTTCCTTATTTATATGCTATCAAATATTTAAAAAAAAAGGTTGCTATCAAATATATTTTAATTTCCAAACGCAGATTAAGCGCACAAAACAAAAACATGCAAATAAGTTATCTACGTCATCTTTAAAAAAGTTATTTGGCTACTCGTACCAATAACACGAAGAAAAATTAAAGTTAAAAAAAATACTCAGATTAAATATATTTACTTCAGTAGATTAATTTTGGATATAAATATAATTATAGTTATTGGATGTATAATAGCTATTAATTATGTATTATCATTATATTTATTTAATTTTTCTAATTATAAAAAGCTGATCTTATATATTAAACGATATCTATAATTATATTTTATTAATTGCTCTATAAAGTTTGTAAAAATCAACTTAAATAATATAAGGGCAAAGTTGTCTATACAAAAATATTTTGCATCTCTTCCTTTCCTAAACCAAACAAGATAACATTAAAATTTCTCCTCTCCCATCGTATTAATCCAAATAAGATAATATTAAAATTCTTGCTCTTCCTTTTATCTCTTCTCCTTCCGTTAAAATCCCTTTCCTCTCATTTTTTTCATTGAGCCAATCATACTTTAAAATGTAATTCCCAGCATAAATTAGAACCATAATAATCTATTGTAAAAATCAACTTAAATAACATGAGGGCAAAGTCATCCATACAAAAATATTTTGCCTCTCTTTTCTTCCTAAACCAAATAAGGTAACATTAAAATTTCTCCCCTCCCCCCGTATTAATCTAAATAACATAATATTAAAATCCCTTTTTTCCCTTTCCCATTTTCTTCATTGAGTCAAACACACCTTTAGAATCTAATTCCCAACATAAATTAGAACCATAATAATCTATTGTATAAAAAATAAAATTTCTAAAAAAGAATGAAAGAAAAGTAAGCTGACTCACAGATGGACATGTGCGGATTGACAAAATGCTAATGGTACTACAACCCAGTTACAGTTCATGAACCCATCTTACATACCGAGCCCCACCCCCTGGCCCTTTTTATAGGCGAGACTTTTTCATTTTTCTCAGCTGTGCCTTCAATAAATCTAATTGAAGTCACTGGTTCTGATGAAAAAAAGCAATTGAGGTCATTGGACGGCTGAAAAATAAAAATAATGCACGTCATTAACCTTTTTTTTGCCAACAAATCACATCATTACCTGTGATTCAGGGTCGAGTAATAAAATATCTATAAATATATTATAGAATAAAAAAGGAAATTGCATATAATTTGCAAATGTTATATTTAGAAGCTACGCTGTTTATAATAACTCATAAATTGTTCAATCTGCACAAAATTCCATAAATATATGGAATATACATAAAATACCGTGAGTTTAAAAAACCTAAATTAATCACTCAGGTTAGTTAACATTTCACGTAGGTTCTTAAAAGTCACATCGTCGTCAGAGATACTTTGGTAAATTAGTAATTAAAGGAGAATCGAAGGGCATTTGTATAATTATAAACCTAAATTGGAGGGGCAGGATGGAAACGAGCGGTGGGGATGAGGAGATGTATGGGCATGATGAGTTGAGGATGCAGCATCATGATAATAGGCAGGCGCGCATGTGCATCAGAGGAGCTCATACAAGAACAGGATTTGACTTCGTTCCAGAGACAGACCGAGGGTAGAAGAAAGAGAAAGGTGACAAAGAAAGAATGAAGAAAATTCAATCCGATCGAATACAATTTTGACGTCCGCAAGGACTCTCTTCTCTCTCCCTTCTCTCTCACTCATCTTTTCGCTTCTCTTTCCACTTTCTCTCTCTAAACCTCACAGCCACGAACAGGGTGTTTACTGAGATTGATAGCCCATATCCCAGGTGATACAGTGAGAAACCCTAGATAAGCTCCGCGCATATCTTCAATACTATTCTCAATGAAGGAAAATCTGAGTGCAAATTCCCCGCTTTACTTAATTCTTAATTCTTTGATGAGTTCCCACTGGTGTTCTTGATTCTTTTCTTCGGTTTTGTTCGGAGGCTCTCTCTGTTCAATTTCAACTCCTGGTGAGTTCTCCCTAGCCTGCCACTTTGACCCTTTCTACTCTTGTTTCTGTTGCTGTCAATCCGCCGTGCTCCATTTCACTTGGCTGAGCTCGGGATCCTTGATTTTCTTTAGCCAGGACTCGATCGAGGGCTGTTAGCGCAAATTTTCTGTCACTTCTTTTTGCTTCCTGCTTAACTTTTATTTCTTTTTCTTTTTAAATAAAGTTTGTATCTTGCGCCTCTTAGTCATTGTGCCTAGGGTCGTGAGATTGAAAATTGAGCGCACACTTATTATGAAGAAGCTAATCTCAATCATCTAGCTCGGTTTGCTTGTATATTTTGGGTTTCCCTGCTTGGCTGTTGGCAGATGGGCTCTTTTGTTCGATTAAAAGAAGATTTCGTATTTTTTCCAAAGGCTTTGGTTGTTGGCGTCACAATATTATTATTTTGAATCTTGTTTCCGTGCGGAAGTTTTATTGTTTTGCTGCCTAGCCTCTTGTGCAGTGGATGGCAAATTGGATCTGAAAAGTCATGTATTGTACAGAGATTCATGCGAAAGCCGTTTGAAGGTTGCTTATCTGACCGCGCCACTGCAACTGTGATGCTCAGAATCGAAGGTTGTTTCTTGGTTTTAGCTTTCTTTGGTCTATGGCTCGTACTTGGTTAAACTCAACACCACAGGCTCTGGAAGAATTCTTACCCATTTCTGTTGGCGTGCAGTAAATCCTCTGGAGCTTGTAGCTTTACGTTTTGGTATGAAATACTATCTGGGTTGAACTTATGCCCAATTTATCAAAAGCTGGTGTTTGATTGTAGTTTGTTGAACTCATGTTTTATACTTGGTTGTTCTGCTTAGGTGATTGTGTGAAGACCTCAACATTGAAAAAATGGTACCCCCGGGACCACCCACTCCGATTGGTGGTGCCCAGTCTGTCCCCCTCCCTATTGAGATCTAATTCTGGAATGTTGGGAGCTCAAGGGGGTCCGATGCCTTCACAGTCTTCTTTCCCGTCGCTTGTGTCACCACGGACTCAGTTTAACAACATGAACATGCTAGGAAATGTGCCCAATGTATCATCCATGCTGAATCAGTCTTTCCCAAATGGGGTTCAAAATTCTGCGCTCTCTGGTCCCGGAAGTAATCAGCGAGGAGGCGTTGATGCTGGAGCTAAAACAGATCCTCTTTCCAGTGTTGGCAACGGAATGAACTTCAATAATACCTCTTCCTCATTTGTACAATCAAATATGGTGAATCCTGGTCCTTCTGGTCAAGGTCAGGGTCAACAATTTTCAAATCCTTCTGGTAACCAACTGTTGCCAGATCAACAGCATTCCCAACAGCTAGACACTCAAAATTTCCAACATAGTCAGCAGTCATTGCAACAGTTCTCAGCTCCTCTGAACTCTCAGCAACAGCAGCAGCAGCAACATTTTCAATCAATTCGAGGAGGGATAGCTGGCATTGGACCTGTTAAATTGGAGCCCCACGTAAACAATGATCAACTCGGGCAGCAGCAGCAGCAGATGCAATCACTGAGGAATCTTGCACCAGTGAAATTGGAACCTCAGCAAATGCAAACAATGAGATCTATGGCACCAGTGAAGATGGAGCCCCAGCATTCTGACCAGTCATTATTTTTGCATCAGCAGCAGCAGCAGCAGCAGCAACAGCAGCAGCAACAATACCTCCACATGTCAAGGCCAACCCCTCAGCCTACTGCTGCTCAGCTTAATCTATTGCAGCACCAGAGACTGTTGCAAATACAACAGCACCAACAACAACAACTCTTGAAGGCATTGCCTCAGCAACGGCCACAACTACAACAGCAGTTTCCACAGCAGAATATGCCTATGAGGACTCCCGGAAAGCCGGTTTATGAACCTGGAATGTGTGCTAGGCGGCTGACGCATTACATGTATCAGCAACAGCATAGACCTGAAGTAAGAAGTATTCTGTTTATTCTTGCCTTTGTTCTGTGCATACCATCTGTCCCACTAAGACGCTTTATTTCTTCGTTTAATGGAGGACAACAACATTGAGTTCTGGAGGAAATTTGTTGCTGAATATTTTGCTCCTAATGCCAAAAAGAAGTGGTGCGTTTCTATGTATGGAAGCGGCAGACATACAACTGGGGTTTTTCCTCAGGTATGCTACTCTTGAAACCCTTCCAAACTAAATTCTTAGGGCCGTGATAAACCCATCTTAGCAAACTTTTTAGTAACGTATGAGGTTCATTACTCCATACTAAATTATTTTATGATAATCTTTTCATGTATTGGGCAACTGTTTCTTTTCATGTTGTCATAGACGAATAGGGGATCAAAGGACTGGCTTAATTCAGTGCTGAGCATTAGTATAATCTAAGACGTCTATTATTGGAATTTTTTCAGGATGTATGGCACTGTGAAATATGTAATCGCAAACCTGGCCGTGGTTTTGGTAAGATTCTGTTTTTGGATTACCTTCTCAACATATCTTTGTTCAGTTTTCTCCACTGTTCCAATATTGACATACTAACCTCTTTTACTTATTTTGTTTAATCTGAGGATAGTTTAAACTTTAAATATATGGCTGTGGTGGATTATTCTCCTTTCTGATTCATGGAAGTTTTGTTGCAATTTCAGAAGCAACTGTTGAAGTACTTCCCAGGCTCTTCAAAATAAAGTATGAAAGTGGCACTTTGGAAGAGCTGCTTTATGTAGACATGCCCCGCGAGTATCATAATTCCTCTGGCCAGATTGTTCTGGATTATGCAAAAGCGATACAAGAAAGTGTTTTTGAGCAACTCCGTGTTGTTCGTGATGGTCAACTTCGAATAGTTTTTTCTCCAGACCTGAAGGTGATGCATAGAATTTATAATTTTCAGCTTTTAAGTAAAAAAAAAAAAAGCTGGGGCATTTTTTTATTCTAGTTTCTATTTTTTATTTTTTCTTAAAAGATGTTGACGTTCTAATGTTTATTATTTCTTTTGCAGATTTGCTCTTGGGAATTCTGTGCTCGGCGTCATGAGGAGCTTATCCCAAGAAGACTGTTAATACCTCAGGTTACTGACTATAGAATCGCTGTTACAATAATCTTGGTTATTTGAATCATTAGATTCTTTTTGGTTGATTGATTAATAAATTGACTTCAGCAGATTCTGTTAAATATTCAGTACTCTACTCATGAAGGGACCGCATGTATCCTTTATGGGTAATTAGACTTAACGTATTTGTATCATATGACTATTGCAAGGCCTGAGATTTTTACGTGCAAAAATGTTTGCTGAGCACCGTACGATATGGAGTTTGGTTTTGCTGCATAATAATTCTAGACTTCTTTTTGTAATGCCGATGTTCATGTTGTAGAGAAGCTAGCAGAGTGATGGGTGTGAATACAGATTTAAGATGTTGTCGCTGCATTATGGCAGCTGTTCGCTATCTTATTTATTTTTCTTTGTTATTCAGGTTAGTCAGCTTGGAGCTGCTGCTCAAAAATACCAGGCTTTTACTCAGAACGCAACGCCTAATTTATCTGTTCCTGAGTTACAAAATAATTGCAATATGTAAGTTCTTTTTGCTGTGGTTGATTTGGGCGTCCTTTTGTTAGGAATAACGGGGCTTTTTCTTGTAGTTCTCATGACATTTGGGATCATGAGATGCATGCCAGTGCTGCCATTTGTTGCTTGTGAATATTTTCAGTCATCTGGCTTGATTTTGTCAAGGGTCTATTTTTCAGTGTTCTCGTCTCTGTTGATCTGTATTTGGTCGACTATTTTGAGAGTTTGCTAGATATGGTGAGGTTCCAATGGGCTTCTTGTGAGTTTATTTTATTTTATTTTTTTTCCAGGTTTGTTGCATCAGCTCGTCAGCTAGCAAAAGCCCTAGAGGTGCCATTGGTTAATGATTTAGGATATACAAAGAGATATGTGCGGTGCCTACAGGTAATCTTACTATTATCAATGTTTATAACTTTTATTTCCCGAACTTTTTTTATTGTACCATGATGACCCTTGTTGATATGCTATGTTGGATTTTTTTTTTCCCCTGCACGGACGATTTATGCGGGGGATCCATTGTTCAAGGCCTTTGTCTTTCTTAATGTTGTTGCAAGCTGTGGCAATTGATCTTTTTTTTTTTTTTTTTAAAAGTTGTATTCTACATTCTCTTTACTGAATTAATGTCAGGGTCTTTTCTCCTGTTATATGGAATTTTTACCCTGTAATGGTGGTTACTGAGGTTATGATGTGTGTTTTCAAAAGCATACTGTATTTTTTTGGAGTGGTTGTGAAGCTTACGTTCTTCGTTTGACTTATGTTTTGCCAAAAAGAGAATGAGAAATTTTCTCCTGCCATCGTAAACTAATTAGTTTATGGATTTATCCCTGAGAAGGATCTGCTGAGTTAACTTGATAAACTTGTTTTCTGTTTCTCCCTTTTGTTGGATATGTTGCAGATATCGGAAGTGGTAAATAGTATGAAAGACTTGATAGATTACAGCCGAGAAAAAGGCATTGGACCTATGGGTAAGTTTGCTTGTTCACAAACGTGGATATGAATGTGTTTTTCAAAATTTAGTTATGTTGTGTGAAGAGGCCATATTAGCAGTCATCCAATCGCATGCTTATTTGCAGTGTTGATTACCAGTTATTTATTATTTAGTAGAGTTAAAAGTCTTAATTTGTTTTTATTGTGTTTATAATTTGTAATTAAATTATTATTATGACTATATTTTGTTTAAATATCCGCATTTTATTAATTTTGACAAGAGTTTCCTGCTAATTGGGTGATTATGGATATTCTCATCCAATCTTTTCTAAGCTATGCTTGGTAATGGAATCATTTCTAGCAAAAGGTTGTATCTACCTGTTGAGCACTTTGTGCTGTGAGCTACCAATTGATGGTTCCTTTCTTCTTGATCATTCTGGTGTAGAATCGCTTTAGATTTTTTCGCTCTTCTGGAGTGGTTTATATATTTCATTTAGATGATTAGGAGCTCCAAATACACCAATAGAAAATTTTACCAGTTTAGTGAGAAGCTAAAGATAGAGAAGCGTTAAGCATTATTGCTGAAATTTTTTAGGTGGTCAACCAGGCAAAAGATTGTAATGAGAGACCCGATAAGAAGCGGTCAGGTCTTCAGGTTATTCTTGACAGCAAGCGATCTAGGCCGTGGACTTTTCTTTTTAAAGAAGGATACATAGGTTGAAGCTTGTTCATATTCTTTTCTGAAAATTGCTCTTAGAAGCTTAAGTTAGGTGCTATTAGCTCTGTATCTGTCTAGGGACAATGTCCTAATATATTTTTTTTATTGGAATTTTTGGGGCTCAACAAGTTGATGGGGGATAAAAGATCAATGGAGATAAAATCAAGCATAGTTGAGCATGTGAATTACTACCTTTGGTCCTTAGTAAAGGTCACATTTTAGAAGTTTTTCATGATCCTAAATATAAGTCATGTTGCAAAATATCCATAGCATTAAATTTTTTCCCTCAAATGTCCTTGCAATGGAAACTGTGTGTTGATTTTCCCTTATAGAAAAAGGTTGATGTTAGCAATTAATAAATTTAATTGAGAGCTATCTTTGAAAGTAATGTTTTGATTTGGAAAATTTAAGGACCTTAACTACTTTTAGCTAGTCTCCTTAATATGTGTGAAGTAGTTAGAAGTGATTTATGATAAGGAGGTAGTAAATATTTGTGGAATTATGGTTGTATTGTTGGGAGAAAAATGGACATATCCTAATGTTCTGTTGTTACCCCTAAGGTGTGATTTTCTAGGCTGACAGCGAATCGTATAAATTGCAGACGACCTAATTTATCAGTTGTCCTGTCTCATGCCTGAGACCCTTGGGCTCGTTGCTGGGGTTCCTTTTTCTATTGTCTGTGTTTTTGTGAAGATTAAAATATCTGAGTTTATGAATGGAAGTTCAGTGATGCCCTGTTGTGAAGTTTTACAACAAATTATTTTATTTTTGAAAGTCAGTAATGGGCAGGTTGAAGGTCAATTGGCTGGTATAAGCTGGGAGAGGTGAAGTATTTAATTTCGAGTTTTCTTGTATAGTTGGGGGATAATTTGTGTTCGTGACATTGGTTAAGTGGGCGACAAAAGTAGCATTGCTGTCTCTGTCTAAAATATCATAATCTCATGTTCTGATTCCTTGCTAATTCTTTGCAAGGGGGTCACTCATGCTTGATTTCTATATGGATAACTGAATGTCCATAGACCATGATTATATTTTTATTCTTGCCTTTTCTCAGAAAGCTTGGCCAAGTATCCTCGGAGAACTAGTAGTTCATCTGGAGTTAATAGTCAGGCTCAGCTGCCTGAAGATCAATTACAGCAGCAACAGCAACAGCAGCAACAAATGGTGGCCCAAAGTTCAAATGGTGATCAAAACTCGGTGCAACCTGCTGCTGTGCAAATAGCTTCTGGCAATGGGGTGGCTAGTGTGAATAACTGTATGAACCCAGTATCTGCATCGACTACACCAAGCACCATTGTTGGACTTCTCCACCAGAACTCTATGAATTCTAGACAACAGAATTCCATGAACAATGCCAGCAGTCCATATGGAGGTAGTTCTGTTCAGATACCATCCCCAGGTTCTTCCAGTACTGTGCCACCAGCGCAGCCAAACCCGTCGCCCTTTCAAGCGCCAACACCATCCTCATCTAGCAATCCACCACAAACTTCTCACTCATCTTTAGCAGCTGGCAATCACATGAATTCATCTAATTCACCAGCTAATGTTTCCTTGCAACAACAGCAGTCATCCCTTTCCAGTGAAGCTGACCCCAGTGATGCTCAGAGTTCAGTTCAAAAAATCTTATCAGGAATATACACCCAAAATAATGGCACTGCTGGAATGGTAGGTGTCGGCTCTTTTGGAAATGATGTCAAGAATGTGAATGGGATTATGCCAGTGAATACCAATACAGGTCTCAATGGTGGCAACTGCCTGGCTGGCAATGGGCCTGTGAATGGTAATTCAGGTGTTGGGGCTGGTGGATATGGTACAATGGGCGGCGGGCTTGGTCAATCCACCATGGTCAATGGGATCAGAGCTGCAATGGGAAATAACTCTATTATGAATGGGAGGGGAGGAATGGCAACTATTGCTCGAGACCAAGCTATGAATCATCAACAAGATTTGTCAAACCAACTACTTAGTGGACTAGGAGCAGTAAATAGTTTTAATAATCTTCAATTTGATTGGAAACCTTCCCCATGAAAAGGCTTTGCAGATATATGGGTGTTCTGGTTCTTGACAGCTGCTTGTGCAGCAAAGCATGGTAGACCTGCCTTAGGCCTCCCTTATGATTGCAGGCTGCGATGGCATAGTTATAGGACATAGGATCAAGGCCTGCCTCTGTACTAATCTGTTATTTGCTATGTAAAAATGAAAATCTGCTGGCTGGTTTTGTGGCTGACGGGTGTGATTTTTCTTGTGAATTCAAATGTAACTTTTTTATTTTTCCCCCAATCTTCGTGGCTTTCACAACTTGATCCTCGACGCATACATACACGTTGCGCGCACAATTAAATCGAGGGTTGGGCCGACAAACTGCGGGTGGTCATTAAGGGACTGGATCTCCAGTCTTGGAAAGTATTCCAAGGAACAACGATTTCCAATTCTATGTCCGCAAACGCTCTCGCACAGATCTATTTCCGCACGTTGAATTTAGCATTCGATTTTCCCCCAGATTGCGAGGCTCACCGCCACCATTATACTTTTTTCACTCTGGCAGCTGAAACACGTTATTTGAATCGATCGTTTGTTTTCTATCATCACTCAAAATTCAAGGCATCGGTCAGGAAGATGATTTAATATGAAGAAGAGAGAAAAGACACTACGTTTTCCTCCATCCCGCGTTCATCCATTGCACCCTTAAGTGAAGGAAAATACAAAGGGAACAAAGTATTATTTATGTATCGAAACGAGGAAAGGAATGACCGTCCGAATAAACTAGTAGTTTACAAGCAAAGAGAACGAAAAATAGCCATGTATCTGAAATTTCATGTCGATTCGGTTCCAGTCCTTTCTCTGGGTTCAGACATCTACATATTTCTCCAGCGTTGCGGACAGCGTAGACTTGGGTACCGCACCAATAACGCTTTCTTTTTTCTCACCATTTTTGAAGAAGAGAACTGTTGGTATGCTCCTGATTCCATACTGTGTGGGGATGTCTGGACAGTCATCGGTGTTGAGCTTCAAGCATACAATCTTGCCAGCATACTCTTTGGCCAATTCATCAATCACAGGGGCTATAATTCTGCACGGTCCACACCATGGTGCCCAGAACTCCACCAGCACTGGCGTTTCACTTGCTATCACCAAGTTATTCCAGGTTGAATCTGTCACTACTAGAACTGCACCATTTCATCGTTGGTAGATCATCATCATCATCAGACGCAACAAAGAGATGGCTTATATAATGTAAGAAATCACATGGATCAAATCTTATCATATTACGCAGTCATTTTAGTTGATTCCCTGTTTTTATTAAAAAGAAAAGTGAAATGCAACTAATATAAAACTGTACATGATAGACTGACGCGAGAGGCGAGACTATATTGAAAAGCCATGCCAATGAAGGATCCGATACTATGCTAACTTGCTCAATACATGCCTCTAGGCGTCCCTAAGGGAGTGAAAAGGCCATGCCAAGGAAGGGAGGCTCTGGTTCTTTCGAACGAAAATAATTAAAAATAATAATTTAAGAGGTTTGGAAGCAGCGGAGTGGGCGAGCTACCTTCGTCAACGGTTTCTCGAGCACTGCAAATGAAACGGGATCTTCGGGAATTTCCAGTCGCTGATTTAAGAGAGGGGCTTGATGCCGTTGATTTGAATCCCTTGAAATGGGGGAAAACAATCCTTGTCCTCGAAGAAAATGGATGAATGCACTGAGGCCTGGTCATACCCACTGTGCTCACTCGTAAACAGTTCTCCAGAGCCATGCTGCTTCTGTCTTTCTGCTGTAATTCTTCACTGAAAAGCTTCCGCAGGCTTTTCTTCCTCCTCCTCCTTTTCTAATTATTTGACTGATTCCCCCAAAGTCTATTCGAGAAATATATCTGCAAGTGGATATCTTTAAAAGATTGTGAGGTGTTAAGAAGGCTGGAATTCATGTGGATGTCATTTATTTTATTGAAACCTGATCGACTTTGAAGTTTATCCATCTTTATATTTTCCAAAACTCTTGGAACCAGAGACCCAGGAATATAGCTGCCCGAGGTAGGCACGGGGCAATGTTTTCATACGATTTATTCATAAAAGATGAGTAAAGGGGGAAAAAAAACACATTTAAACAAAATAACGAGAGCTACATTGGAGCTCTTCTCAAGGAGACCACTGTGGCCATGCTCTTCAATATTAATCTGAATTTTTTTTTTTAATTGGACGTGATCCTATGAGGCGAGTTGGGGCCAGTGGTTTTGAGAGATAAATTAGAATTAACGGACTTAATGGGTGGCGACGTGACATGAAGCATTCAAGTTGTTATCTTGTAGTTCCAAACATGAGGGCACGTCCTTTCATTTGACAGTAACCACATCTTCTCAACTTGGAATTGTGGCCTCACAAATCTAACCAAGCAGAAGCAGTTCCATAATTGAACATGTTGAGTTGCTTCAGTGCGTCACCCTGAGATCTGATAAGGACAAGGTCAGCAACACACAGTCGATGCTTGAGGAACTTGTTCATAACCAACAAGATGGACAACTTGTATAAGGGTTAAAGTAACTGACTTGTTCATTACTTGAAGATGCTGGAAGCTATGGACCAGAAGGGATTCAGCGAATACAAATATCTGATTTGTTGAAGAATATCTATGCATTGCAATTCGCGTTAGTGATTGTGACTAATCACAATTGCAGCTGATGGTCCCCTTGTTTTTTTGGCACAAGGGTTTCCAACAGTACCTTCTTCCCCTCTAGTCAAACCGTCTTCAGAGTTCAGAGGATAAAGTTAAAACCATGTCAGGCGTTTCGCCGGGTAAAAGAAATGCCGTCCCATAAATTAGTGTATGCTTTTTACACAGCATGATTCCGAAATTCCGACCCTCATTCCATGTACGCGAAAATGGGAAACATGGCTTTTACTATGAGGGTTTGTTTCCATTTTCACCATAAATTTAAGCATAAAGAAAAAGCTTTTAACCCTGACATTCTTCAGTTAATTAACTTCATTGAGGATAATTTTAAAATTTTAAAAAAATATTAATTAACCCCAACTATTTAATTTATGTAAGGTATGAATAGTATCATTGATAAAAATAGCATGGTAGTAGAAATTAAAAAGGAAGCACCAATCTAATTTCCAAATAATTGTTGTTGTTTTCCCGAATTTCTTTTTCCGAACATGTTAGGTACTGGCAATAAGATTCGGAATCAGAGGCGGGAAAGGACCGTGTTTGGGTAGGTGGCGCATCCCATGCTTCTTCAAACGCACCACGGCCACATTTGTCAGTTTGTTCTGTGCTCTAGACTGCACAAGCGTCCTCCACTTCCCTTGTTCTCACTCTCTGCCTCTACGTCGCAGCAACCACGATTGTCTCCGACGCTGTTTGTTCCTTCCATTCTGGTAATTTCTCCTGTTCACAACGCACTGTACGCCAGAACCCAAGTGTCAAGTGCTAACCCTCTTTGACCCCCCCTTCCGGGTCGGATATATCAGGTTTAAGCCCATTCGAGTTGAGCCCAAGTGATTAAAACTTTCATGCCCTTTTCTCGACCGATTGCTCTTAAACCCTAACTGATTCAACGGATTCGAACTTGGTTCCTAACCTTTCATTATTGGTCAAGAACCTCAAATCGTTTTTAATACCAGCTTTTGCTCTATAAAGGAAAACGGGTTACGAAGAAACTGCTTTTCTTTTCGAAATTTTGAAGCGGTATATAATACATATTAACCAACATCTCTCACTGTGAGAGAGAATGTCTCGTAAGAATGAGGGCGTGCCTGGCGACGAAGATGATTCCACTATTGATAAGAAATGCAGCACTTACTTTGATGTCTATGGCCCCCAAGTAATGTTTCCGTCTTCCCGTGGTTCTATTGATATGGAATAGGGTTTAGTATTTCTTCATTTCTTAAGTGAACTTGGTTGTCTAAGTGGTCATGATGCAATAGGTTTTCTTTTACGAGGCTTTGTTCAATACTTTTTGACATAACTCAGCTTACTTAATCTGATATGCATTTTCAGGGCAGGGCCGATGTTATTTTTAAATCACCTGAAGCTAATTCGACTTTGAATCTTCAGGTAGTTTCTTATGACTACACAAAATTTGAGTTTGATCAGCTAATTCCTCACCAGTGTTTGTGTTATGAAACAGGACATTCAAGGTCTGGTAACTTGGGTTCTTGCCGAAGGATTTATGCCGTCATGGGTTTTCATTAAGGTGATGATACATTCCTCTCCATCTTTCGCTAATTTTTAAGCAACATATAGGCAAAAGAATACGTGGCCATGTTGAGTTTACGCCAGATGGCAAGTAATCTGCTTCAACGTTGAACATTTGGTGAATGCTCTAACTCCTTATGCAACACTCTCATGATTTGCAGAACAAACCTCTTATTCAAAAAGTGGTGATGCTCTATACTCCAGGTCTGGATGCGGCTTTGTACCTGTCACAATCTAAAATGCTCCCCTTTTTAAAAAAAGTCTGTGGCAATCCGAGGGCAGTCTTAGCTCTTAGGTTTGTAGAAAAAGTATTCCCTAGTTATCTTAAAAGTTCGTTGTTCTTCTGGAGGGTCTCTAAATATCTATTTTGTGGTTAGCTGTGTTTCAGATGGAATGCAGACAATAGATGCTCTCCTAACGTGCAAGCTGAAAAGAAAGAGGGATGAAAGCAGCTCAGTTATGGAGAAACCGACCCTGATATCTCCACAAGGTCTTCAGACTTTAATTATCAAATTATCATTAGACCTTCCATTAGCCAAGCAAAATTAAATGCTGCATGGAGCTACTGGGCATTCCCTTACTTTCCAAACGTAGCTGTATTTGTGGAGGAGAAAAGCCTCAAATTTTAACAAAGGCCAAGTTCGAAGTATTGTGTAATCCAAGCTGTTTAGGGGGCATTAAATAGCACCCACCCACTATGTCTATGTGGTTGGAATTCCTCATATTGTGAATACCTTCATCTAAACCTTCTCATGCTTGTTCTTGAGGAATATAGATTATTTGATTAACTGGTCATGCTCTACCATTGATTTTCAAGTTTTCAACACCCTTCCAATGTTTAAAGGGAGAAATGTTTACCGTATGATTATGCATATGCAGATGAAGGCCTTATGATGGTCTATGCTTGTATATTTTCTTTTAAATATGAAAACTATTTTACTAAAATAAAAATTTGGTAACCTTCTCCCCGGGGGGGGTGTTTAGTGAGTTTTGTATGTGATACCGCTGAGATGAACATTTTGACATGGAGTTTCTTTCGCGAACCTGCTCTTTGTTGCTTACTTGATGTTACCGTTCTTCCTGTTAAAGCAATTGTTACTTGGAGGCCCTTGAACTTTGTTCACAGCCATGAGATGTGTTGTCTTCATGCAGAAAAGGGCAGTGGTGGTACGGATAATAGATCATTTACGGAGCTTACAAAAGGCATTCCTTTCCCTGTTACGTATTATACACTTACAGAGAAGGAATTAGAAGACAATGGATATTTATTTAAACAACCAGGTGACTTTTACTCTACTGTCATGCATATGCACAGTTATATGACTTCTATTTTTGTTTGTTTACGCACATGTTTGACATTTTCCTCATCCTTTGGTGAAAGGATTTCTTTTGACTTTGCCTGCTCCTTCGGGATCTTCTCCCTTTGAAATGCTGGCGCTTGATTGTGAAATGGTAAGTAATCAAATAATCAATGTCAATTTGGGATAAAAATAATGCTCATAACATAGAAAGTGATGGCGACTTGTGTTTTTCATTATATTTCTTCCTTTTCTTAACTTGCTTTCTGTGGCAATTTGATGCTGTGCTTATTTGTTGTTTCTTTTTTTCTATAGTGCATCACAAGTGAGGGTTTTGAACTTACAAGAATTACTCTAGTGGATTTTAAAGGACAGGTATCTACTGAATTTTTGTTCTGGTTTCCTTTTTGCTAAATACATGCATCTTGAGGAGCAATGATAGTCGGTTTCTATCTTTGCTTCAATTTTCATTACTTTTGCTCCCCTCTAAAAGGAAGTTGCGAACTGAGAAGTTCTCGTTTTACATCTTGATGTGTCAGCTCATGAAAATAATAAATTCTTACATGCGCCACTATGGCTATTACTCATCTGTGGAGCTTTGGCTTTTATCCTTTCAGGTCGTGCTTGATAAATTGGTTAAACCATCAAATGCTATCATTGATTACAATACCAGGTGAGCTGTTGAACTATTTATAAATCACCTTAAAAGTGTTATAGTTAAAAATTTTGGGTATACATTTCCTATTATGCTTAACATATTTTAGCATCACATGCCTCATTTCCAACAAATTTGTTTGCATAACAAATCACTTTTGATCGCAAAATGAAAAGGACCAATTTTTTCACCCTTCTTTCGTTTCTGTGGAGTGTGGATGACTGAGTGTTCCAACAGCATAGTAGATGGATTCAATATATGTAACCGCCAGATTAATACATGACCCAGATCCTCATCTCATTGCAAGATCTTGTAACATGACTTAAAATTTATTGCAGATCTTTGTGAGCAGAGGAGGACGGGGATCTGTAACTTTTTTTTTTTTTTTCCTCCCTTCTAAGAGCTCTAATTCCTGGGGAAAGGGGAGTTTTCGATGATAATCTTGGTTTATATTGGAGGCACAGCCTAGACTAAAGGGGAAAAAAGAAGAAAACGTATTATAATAAAAGGAGGGAGGGGGTAAAAAATAGAGCTAAATATACAGTTTCATCACCTTCGCGCTTCCTTCAGATTTGATTATAAGTGTCAGCAGTCAACAATAGTTCTGTTCTGTGCAGGTTTAGTGGTATAACACCTGAGATGTTAAATGGGGTCACCACAAATCTGAAAGACATTCAGGTTGTTATTTAAGTCGGTTTGGTTCTTTCTTATATTTGCGTGATAATCTGTTCCCCCAACTGTTGTTACAATGCTTGTTCATCAGTTAAATTTTTTTCCTTGTGCTGATCTACTTTCATTTGCTTTCCATATGCAGGATGAATTTCTAAAGCTGGTTTACCAAGAGACTATTCTGGTTGGGCATTCTTTAGAAAATGATTTGTTAGCTCTGAAGATCTCTCATGATTTGGTAATTGACACAGCAGTATTATATAAACACCGCCGAGGCGCATCTCATAAAACTGCTCTGCGGATTCTTGCCAAGAAATTTCTCTCTCAGGAAATACAGCAATCAGGGAATGGACATGACAGCGCTGAAGATGCTAGAGCTGCAATGGAATTGGCACTATTGAAGATCAGACATGGCAAGTATTTCCTCTTTATGTATTAATGTTGTATCATGTGTGATGAAAATTATAAAATATTTGTGAGGACATATGCTGTATCTGAGAGTTGGTGCTATGTTGTTCTGGATTCAGATGGGAGATGAAGTTTTCTGGAATTGTGACGAGATCTTTTTTAGAAGTAGTCATGTATCAAGGAATAGTGTTAATTCAGGGAAATACATGTGTGTTGTACACGTAGATATAGCTGTCAGCTTTAACTTGGTTTGTCATATTTTAATGTGGCCATTATCACTGCTTTGACATGCTAGTGATTTCATTTTTCCGACAGGACCTGACTTTGGTTCTCCCCCATCCTTCATGCGGAAGAAGCTCTCTTCTCTTTTGAGCGAGTCTAACAAAACTTCCTCTTTGATTGATGATATATCTATAGTAAAACGATATGCATCTGAGTCCTCCAATGCAATTCCTGTGACTTCTGATGATGAGGCACTTGTAAGGATCACCAAGGAGGTAAATGTCATGGATCAAAGTAGGCTATACTTACTATTTTCTTCCTGTTTGCTTACTAGCTTGTTTGATGTGTTATTGGTTACAGGTGAAAAATGATAAGGTACATTTTGTCTGGACACAATTTTCGGAATTACATTCATACTTGAAGAAGCAAGCTGATGATTCGGAGATCTTGAATAAAAGACTTGCAGAGATGATGTCATTGCTTACTTGTAAGAAGAATTCTGCCAAAGGTAAAGACATCAAGCTGAGGGCAACTACTGAATTGAAGGAAATTCTAGGTCGTATGGATGCTAGAATTGAAACTCTGTACAAGTCATTACCGTCTAATGCTATGTTGATAATTTGCACCGGTCATGGAGACACAGCAATTGTGCAAAGGTAGATGCTCCTTTTATTTTTCACATATATTATCTGAACTTCTTTTATTAATTTGGGGGTAAATATTTTATCATTGAGTACTATTCCCAATTATTTCCTTTTGTTTCTAATTTTCTCAATTGGGTATGCGGAAGCTTTCGTTATCCTCAGTACAGGACTTCCATCAACCTTGAGTCACTGGGATTAAGGCTGGCTGATTTACTTTTTTAATATATGGACTGCCTGATGTTGAAACCTGTGTTATTTTGGACTCCTATATCTGCAATGCATACTTGAATATGATTGCCCTGTTAATAAGTAGACTGCTAACAAATGAAATGGCTCCCTCTTGTATCATAGAACTATAGTTATGCTCAATTAAATGTGTTTATTTATTTGGAATTAGAAATTGATGGTTTGTTTCGCATATTCGTCTGCATGGAAGACTTAGGAGAATGCTTGCGGAGCAGAGCGAATCCACTATATGTCGTGAGGAGATTGTGGAAATCCTAGAAGAGGTTCAGGCTCGAGCTGAGGTTGCCTTGTGTTTTTTAGGTGTGAAGCATTGATTATAACACAGCTGAATTATTCATGAGACCTTTTGGTGAGCGTCCAAAATAGATTAGTAAAGGTTGTGACTGTAAATATTGATCATTTATTCAGATAAAAAGGTAATATTGATAATTTTGTTGCTTGCCGGGCCCTTTTTTGTCTCCTATTGCGGGAAGGAGAAAGGTCATCAAATGATACTCTGATTTCTCCCGGCGGTTTTTTTCTACTCTTACACTGGGCAAAAAGTAACACTCTAATCTTGGTTTAGCTTCAAAATTAGAATGTTATGGGGGCCTTGTGTTTGTTTTATATGACCTTTTTCGTTTTGAGGGGGGAAAGCTTGTTTACGGGTTCTGGTCAAACAATGGCTTATTAATTTGTTTCCCAATCTGAGTTTGAAAGTTTGTTTCCCTTCTTTTTTTTCCCCCCCATCAAGTGAATTTTTGTTTGACTGGTTCGAAAGTCTAGAAAGAAGAAACTGAACGAAAGCAACTGAAATGTTACTCTAATGTTGCTGAGCGAGTTCAGGGAATATACTTGTGATCGCTTTGGTACAATGATCGGATGTTTTTATTAACGAAAAGTTAGCATTGTAAATTTGCTCCTTATCGATAGCAGGCGAATTCGTTCCTGCTTGCCCGTCCATGGCCCATAAGCAATAGTTTTAAATTTTTAAATACTTAACCTTATGTATACTCTGTTAATATTTAATTGGTTCTATACAACTTTATTTTAATTCATTCAATATCTTGTACATATTTTAATAGAATTTGAATAATAGAAAGAGGAGAGAAATATTTGAATGACTTTATGATATCAATAGTTTACATAACAACACAGTAGATTGCTAAATTTTGTTGAAATAGTTGTGTAAATTGATTTTTTTTTTTTAATGGCTGAAGGCGTTCTTAAAGTTCATCGGGGTCGATTCATCTTTAAGAAACTAATCACGAAACATTTCTTATAAAAAATTCAATTTTTTGGACAAAAATTGATGCTATCTTCAAATCAAGTACAACACATCAACAAGCAAAATTTATTGAAGATTGTTGCAAAGCCATATTTGTTAGAGCTCAGCATGCAGAACTAGTAATTGGTAAACAGACTAAACAGGTAAACACTAAACAAGTATTAGAATAGAATGATTCTGACAGGCTGAAAGAATCGTGCTTGTCACCTCCACGCCGAAGCTACGATCAAGTTCTTGTCTTCCCACCCAAAATGAAGTGCACCCATTTCCTCCTTCATCTTGTACCTGTCACAATAATGCCTGATGAGTTTCCGAATTGAGTCATTCACGTGACTGCTCAGTGGGGATGAAGTGAAGCCGGCCATGGCCATCCTTGCCCTCCATTTCCCGGCAACTTCGTACCTTTCAATCCGATCCTCGCCATCACATGCGACAATGTTGACAATGTCCCTTGCTAAGCATTGCCTTTCAACATTCATCCTGTCCTGACTCTCCCTGGGAAGAGTCGCATCAAGCGACTCAAAAACAGAAGAGTAATAATTGTAAGCTTCTACGAATCTTGGGAAGAAAGGCGTGGTGTTAGTGTTCACGTCTTGTTCCACAACTGTTACGAGTTTTGGATTTAGGCTCTTAACCATGCGGAGGAGTTGGTCTCTCTCGTTCACTGTGGAAACGCTCTCATCCGGCATGTGGTGCAGCTGAAATGCGAAGTTCACCACAAGTGCTTCGCCAGGGAGACACTCGAGCATTGAAGGGGTGACGAGGGATGTCCTCGATGGCACGGCTCGAAACTCGAATGGCAGCTCCAGTGCTTCTGCTAGCTTCTCAAGTCTCTGTCCTATGATCTTTAGGCCTCCAACAGATCGCTGTACAGATTCTGGATCATCAACTCCAGTCAATCTCATGTAGGGTGGCTTGCCTGGCCTTGAAGCAAGTGTTTGCAGTAGAGTTATGTATTGGCTTCCTTGGTTGATGTCAAAATCTACTATATGCACCTCGGTTTCATCTTTCACTGCCTCTGAGATTGCACCATTTGCAGCAATGAATCCAAATTTAAAACATGGGCACACTTCAAACAATATCTGCATTGCCGCCAGACGATCTGAAGAAGGAGGCTCCTTGCATTTCAGAGCTTTGTAAATACACTTGCCAGACTCAGCCACGCGAGCTGCAAGTCCTTCAACCATATAGGCTGCAATTCTTTGGGGAGGATCTCCCTGAATTGAGACCATCTGCCGCAGATTATTTATCATACCCGATGCCTCCTTTAAATTTCCTTCTGAAAGTAAGCCTGCACATTCAAGAAGCAATTTCCTGATGGGATTCTGAGGAGAGATATGTGATACTTCTTTGCTGCTGCTGATGCTACTGAGATTAGAATCTGATGATGAAGACTCCTTTGGTGAGTCATGGAGCTGCATATTCTGAATGGGATCAGCCCACTCAGGGTCAATTTCCATGCTTTGAGCAGTCTCAAATGTGTCTTCCTCATCATCAAGCAGGGCCCTCTCTAATTCTTGCAGTTTTAATCTCATTTGACCATTAAAGTCAAGCGCATCCAGGCTTTCGTTTTCTGAGAAATCTGATCTAAAATTGGATTGATAATTGGCATCATGATGCCTCATGGACACGAAAGAAGTATCGAATGGGTTATTAGCAGCCGTAGAAACTCCTGAACTAGCTCTAGGCTGGTAAGGAAAAGCAGCATCCGGGCGAAATGAATCGGCTGAGACACCAGAACTAGATGGTTCTATCAGTTCTTCTGTTGGTGAATCATGGAAGTACTTCTCATAACTCTCACTGGAGCAAGAACCTGTCATGTACATACTTTGCTTATCAGAATCAAGACTCTGGGAGGGCAACCCTGGCTTAGCATCAGTTCCTTTTAGCGAGAAGAGTTTAGCATTTCTATATGGTGTAGCAGCGAGCTCAGCAGATCTAACTAATGACATGGTTTGTCTTGATTAGGATGCTCACGTAGAATGTCAGTCTGTACCCAAAAACATTGCATATATTAGCTGTGACAATGTTAAAAAATTATGCAAGCAGTTTAACTAATGAGCTTTTCACCCTTGACAAATTATGAACTGTATTTATTTTGTTGAAGCGTCCAACTTATCTAAATTCAGATGCAAGGAACAAAAGGAGGAAAAAAATAAATCTAGAAGACCTTTTCTGTTAAACAAGGACTAAAGGTGATTATGACGCCTGGGAATTATTGACTTTAATAACAGGGAAACACAGTTAAAACCCCATGAATCAGCTTTCATCTAAATAAGCACTTAAAAAAGTGTTACTGACTATGATGGAAGATATACAGGCACGAGCAAGAACGTGAATTCCAAACTTTCTCGTGACTTAAAAAATGTTCTATTATGTTCATTCAAATATGGCTTAACACAGTAGATAAAGCTCCACCCCCGTATCGCAAAGACCGCCACGTCTTACACGGACCATCCTTCGTCGGGTAGGGCAAAGTATGTATAATAAGACGGCAACACTAGGCACTAAACTCTCGTTTGGTAAGAAACATTGAAAACGAGAAATAGGGACTGAAATTGTAATTGAAAAAAATTATTAAAATAGTATTTAGCATAAATAATTACTTATTACATGAAATTAGACAAACACAAAGAAGTGAGATTGGGAATACCCTCTTCTCCAGTGATATTCTCCAATCCTACGCCAATGAGTTTAGCTAGTCTCATGTGACAAGTAATATCTCACACTAAACTTGTTTTAATAGACTTTCTCAATTTCAATTCTAAACTCTCCTTCTAATTTTCAATACTTCGTACCACCTTAGATCAGTTAAATGAAACTACTACCTTTGAATGGTTAAGAATTAGCGGCAGAGTCATGCAACAACTAAGATTCTGGTTCGGTTTGATTGATTACACGCATGCAAATGAATAATGACCCAGCAAAAGTTCTTAGAACAGGATATCCATCACATTGGTTGCCTCTAACTAGGAGAATCCATGGGCAAGGTGTCCACGATGAAGAATGATCCGTCCTATATTTATTTGAATTTCTGAACCCAAGTGGAACGGTGAGTCGAGTTTAAAACAGAGGTTACAGATAACCCTTAAAAGGAAAATCTCGAACTTTATTAGAATAATGAGTTAAAACAGATACCAACAAGTAAGAAGAAGAAAGTGAAGGAAGTCCATCTCTAGGCATCTACTTTTCTAACCACAGTCACCGAATAATATAATAATATGCAGCCATCAACTTCTGATAGGGAATGAATAGCTATCAGAAATAATGATCCAATTCTAAATGCGCAACAGAATTCAAATGAATCCAGATATTCCAGATTATAGAGTTAGGATTTGAAGAGGATCTTTGTTGACAAAGCATACCGACTTGAATTAGAAAGCAAGAAGAAGCAGATAAACCGTGTGAGCCTTCCTGCCAGGAACAGACGAAGAGGAAGAACCTCAAAATAGGGGCCAAAGGGAAAGAAAAGAAAGCTCGGGTTTATGACCAAGTACAAGAGAAATTATAGAGAGGCCAAGACGGAAAGAGTGTTTTCGGATGACTCCTTTTTCTATTAGAAAAATGTTTGATTGGACGAAGTTTGGTTGAAAAGCAACAAATTAGAAAGCAAATAAAATGAACAGAGCAGCATGAAAAAGCACGAACTTAGAGAATTGATAACCAACCAGATAAATACCTTCAAGGAACAAACATAAAAATATTGTAAATTATACAAGCGGAAATCGGCAACCCAATAAAACAATGTTAACCGCGTCGTGTTCCAAACGTCCACCTAAAGTTAGGAAAGTTTCTACAAATCCGAGAAGTGATTTAAGAAGACTGGAAAACTCACCTACGATTTTCGCCAAGAAAGGGCAAACTTCTTAGCATTTACAGCTGTAGCTTGTCGTGTCTCGGTCTCTTTATTTTCGTATGATATGCGTCCGCATGGTTACGCCAACTCGTCTGACTGAAAACAAATAGCTTTTATAGCTTTCGTGAAGGGAAAAAATTCATATTGCCGTACTAAAGTGAGGGGTTCCGACAAAAGAGCGTCCTGGTCGAGAACAAATTCCCGCGGTCCCTGCCCCTAGTTCTAATCACTCACAATCTAGTCCGTCGGATCGAGGCCTTCAAAACAGTCCATTTTGACTTGCTCGATGGCAAATGAGTCATTTTGCAGGAAAATATTTGGAAATGCTTGAAGTTGAAAGCAAGAGCAGACGAGTGCACAGTGATGGCCGAAAACGGGGAGGGAAATTCTGCAGTGCCTGGGGGTGCCGTATAATCTACATCACTGTTTGCGTATAATCTCCTTTTTGACGATGAAGTCAAAAGTCGTGAAAGCAAGTATCCAAGGTTCCAATCCACTAGCAGCTAGCATCAGTATATACTGCTAATATGTTTATTGAAAAGTCTCATGCTCTCTTCCGTTAAACACTCCCATAATTTGCTGGATCGAACATTTAGATCCAATAATGACTAATATGATAATCGAGAAGAAATGCACTTGAATCCTAAGTATATCCTAGGTGGAAAAAAATTAGTTAATTTAGGATCGACTGGTGTAATTCTTTTAACTATGCATAATAATGATGTACAGGTTTCGTCGGAGAACTAAAAGCAGAGATGCCCTCCATTTCATTGGTTATAGAAAAGCAACGGAGCATCAATCTCAACAAAGGTGGAGGTAAGTGTTGTGGGGAACAAATTGCCTATTCAATTTCGTATATAAATGATGTACTTTTAAATTTATTAATAGTTGGGAATCAAGTTCTGGGGAGACAAGTGTATCCAATGGACGTGCGAAATGAATCAATATGTCATGGATGACGAGTTAGAAACAAGGGAAATCATTTGTGTGGGGCAATTTGTGATGATGGAACCAAGAGAGTAAAATGTGCACAACTTGTATTTCCAAATATTTATGTCCTAATCATCTCTCCTTTATCTTGTCCAAATACGCCAAATTATGAGTTGGAATGTGATATTTCCGTTTTGCCTCTCTATTTTCTTTCCGGAACGTCTGATGTTGGAGTTGGCCTGGAGTGGTAATTTCTTATCATCCGATGATCTCTTTTTCCTGGTTGATAAATTCAACGCTTGACTTTAACTACTAAAATATTGGCCACCTGATGTCGTTCAGAACTTGAGATCACCTTGCACTCCAATTTTCTCTGCAATTTTTTTTTAATGGGTATGACAGCAGGACTCACACAAACAAATATAATATTGATGGGGTGTTTGGATGGAAACCAAACTATAGTTTCAAAAGTGATTTTATGATCTACGAGATAAATATGTGGAGGAGTTTATCTTGATTTGTGAAAAAGTACTCCTGATAAGTATTTTTCAGGATATCTAAACACCCCTAAGAAATTAGTATTGGGTGAATTCTGGTTCCAGTCCCAGTGTTATGTATTTGATTTGACCACTCAAATCTTGAGCCTCTGAAATCAGACCCTACCCTCGTCAAAACCGTTTAGTGGTCGAGATTTGGGTTTTATACCTAACCAACTATAATTCTAGTCAGTTTTCCTGTAATTTACGGTCGCTGCCATAAAGAAAGCAACAGGAAATTAGGTGTTGAGTTTGATGTGATGGGGTGCACGGCAATGTTTGTTAACTACTTCTTTAAAACTTCAAATTTTAACATGGTTTAGATTAATAAATAAAAAGGTGATCCCCACTACCTGTAGCTTTATAATATAGTAACAGGAGCGGCCAACCCACAACCGCCAACAATTATTTATTTTTTTAATTTTTAATTTTTAATTATTTTTCTTATGCAATATCCAAAAAAAAATATAATAAGATTTTTATTTTTCTTGAAATATTTGATTAAAAGTATCAAATAAATTATATAGGTATTTTTTAATTTTTTAGATAGAATATAATATATAATAATTAAAAATTTTATGAACAAATAAAAAAATAAATGAGGGTTAAAAATGTTTGTTTATTGGGGGTTGGATAAAAACCCGTAACTTTTGATGGGTTAATGGATTAGACCTACGGATTCAACTCATATTATCAGTTTTATATAACACCTCCGTAAATGTTTTATTTTTTTTCCCCCTTTCTTTCTTCTCTGTCTCCCTTCCTTGAGCTCCCGATGAAAAGCTTCAGTTAATGAGGTCACGAGGGCTCACCGGCAATTTTTATCGCGTTAAAATAATGTTCACAGAAAATACTGATAGTCAAATGAGATTTATGTTATAAGTATAGTAGCCCGACTCAGCTTAGAGGAAAATAGTCAAATACATGCTGTGTGAGGAATAATGATAATCCTATCATTATTTATAAGAAATCACGTTATTTGTAAATCTTAAAATATTACTCCTGTACTTAATCTAAGAGCTAATTAACTAATTTAAATATATTAAAATGTTAATTAAATTGGTTAATATGATTTTTTTCCTAAAATACCCTAATCATCTTCTCTAATTTTCTCATTCCTTATCCTACTTGCATGATTGTTGAGGGACCATCAATAAGGTTAGTTTGGAAAAAAATGATAAACACATAAAATAAATCTTATATATCATATTTATATTAACTTTCAAATTAGGACATACATTAAGCATAAGATACCTTACCCCTGCAGTCCTAGATTTCTGCAACAATGTGGGAGGCAACGGGTTGAACGAGTCAAAGACCAAAATTGTGGGCTTGATCAGGCCCATTTAATTATGGGCCCTACCAACCAGGGTAAACAGACTATCCCGAAGTTCTTGTCTGCAGGACAAAATAAGACAATAATATTTGTCGTTCTGTAATTCATATCACACAACACACACATATTTGTTGCTTTTGCATGCGATTCGAAAGGACCATCATTCCTTCTTCTTCTTTTTTTCGGCTCTTTCTGGTTAGCTCTCTGGTAACAGCCTGTAGCTCTAAAACAGCAGCTGTTTCCTGAGAAGGAATAGAAAGATAGTGGAATAACTAAGAAGAAGCAGTGGATATGCAGAATGAGCGGCCAGTAATATTTGTGGGATAAAACAAAATTAAGAGACGCAGGCATGATTATGAATTCATCATCTTCAGCGTCATCCACTGAGCGGAGTCTAATTAAATAATGATGTGTCCAACGCAAGCGTGTTTTAAATTTGATTAATAAGAAGCGTTAGGTAGGACGTCGTTCTAGTGCGATATAGTAACTGTCCCCTCATTAATCAATTCATGCTTTGCGCAAAAGTGACACGAAGAAATTGGACCAGGCATTCCACACATATGTGTATATAGGCCCGTGTGTAGCCAGTTCTGGCAAGCAACCAAGGCCGATCGAAATAATTTTATAATCAGAGAGAGTAACATCCCCAGCCACAACAGAATATGGCGGCATGTTTTAGAATATTACAAATGTTTACTGACTTTGATTTGAACATCCCATCATCCTCTGAAAGTTGCAGGGGCGCAAGATTTGGCCAGGCTTGAGTAAAACAGGGCCTATATAGTTGGAAACATGATAAACATTGAGTGATGCTAGCTTCCTTCACATAAGTACTGATCTGCTGTTTTAATTTCCCTGGTTTTTGTGTTATAATATACTTAATAAAGGCTCTGTTATATATATATATATAGAGAGAGAGAGAGAGAGTTCCCATTTTACAGTATTCTAACTCTTAATTAGTTCGAAATTTCAATAATAATGTTGCGCAGAACTTGATATATATATATATATATGTATATATATCCAACAACAGTTAAAGAACTTGTGTTGTCTGTGTCGTTTTCCAGGCAATAAAAGTTCTTCGTGTCTAATTGTAGTTGGTTAGGATTTGGTTGTATGCTATATTGCTCTCCCTGGGACTGCCATTGGCAATTATCAAGGTCCATAATCATTAAGCTACATATCTTAATTGGTTCATATGCATGAGTGATTGACTATGAGTATATAAATATTAGAGCAAACATCTGGTTTATAATTAGATCGGAGAATTTGATCGCTGATATTGTAAAGTTTCATTAATTAAAGAGGGGAGCTGTTTTTCATTAGGTGAAGTGTCGTTTTCGAATGGCACTAGAGGTATATCAAAGCGCAGAATATGGGAATGTCGCTTTAGTTTGGTTGAAACTGTGAGACAAGAAAGAAAGCCAACTAATTAATTATCACCAACGAACTTGCGCTGCGCCTGTTTAAAAAAAACAAATTTATCTTTGACAGGTTCATTTGAATTTGGTTTTGTATGTCTACGCGCGCAAGAAATTGAACCCAATTACATAAAAATACAAATACTATCTCTAATCTTAAATATAAGAGTTATTTGACTAATTTGAGTAGGTTAAAAAAATAAATTAAGTCAGTCATTTGTAACAAATATGTATTATTTTTTCTAAAATATCTTTGTTAATCAAATATATTGGTT